TATATATATATATATATATATATATATATATATAAAAATACTTTGCATTTAGGTCAACGAAAACATTTTGGTTTGTCAATATGCTCCATCAAAAACTCCACAAGTAGAAAAGTTTTAGTTTCACCTGGTTTAAATCTGGAAAGAATCTTCTTTAGGGAATCTTTTGCTATTTAACTATTAATTTATTATTTGAAAAAATAATCGACAGATTGATTAGCAAAATAATCTTTAGTGGCAGTGGCTAGACTCTACCATTTTTTTCCTTTGTCAAACACCTCACCCCTAAAACTTAATATATCTAACTTTGAACAGTCTTCCCTCTGACAATTTGTCCACTCTTCATTGTGGAAGTTGTAACAGAGGGAAGTTAGCGTGAGCTGGCTGCGACTGGGTTAGGTTAGTTCAAAAGCTGACTTCTCATTGCATCCCTGCTTGGTTTTTATATTTATTTATGCAGCAAGATTCTTTAAACAGATGGCAAGTTACAAGGAAATGACTCATTATGTATGACAGATTTTTCATTTCCTGCACTACGAATGCAATGTTTGAAGTGACTATATTTGTTGTATAGAACATCCCCCCAAAAACTCAGATTTTTAAAAAAGTAAATCTTGAACAGAACTCTATCCACATAAACAAAATGTTTTGTCAGGCTGCCATGAGTGACTGATAAGACGTTCCTTCTTTGCTTGGAAGGACAGAGTAACACTTCCTCTCAGTTTACCCTTTATCTCTGCCTATTTAGGAGTTTAGCTGCATGCCAGCAGCAGCTCGGGACCGTTTCCAAACATAATCATGATATTAGCTGGATCCTTATTTATGTGCCACAACCCCTTCTATTTCTCCTCTTTCTCTCTCTCTCTTTGCAAACACAGAAGCACACCCATCGTTCATCCTTCTGCTCAGCCCCATTACATATGCATCCATCCTTCCCATTTCCCACTTTTCCAATCTTCTCCAGTTAGCTACAACAAACATTACATTTACATATTGATTTCGTAGTTTTAGTCAATGTAAATATGCTGTCATTACAGTAAATTTGAGCTTCTGTTAACATAAGCTCGTCCAGATCTGCACAGATTAAGGGTGTGATTGCATAATTAATGTGTGCGCTACATATTAATTCCCTCATCCTGGTCTTTCTCTAAAGTCTTCCTCCTCTCCTTGGTTTCTGAGCCCTGATTAAGTGCCTGTTTCGGCCTTTAAGCCTCCCATTGCTATTCACCCTCACAGACCCAGCGTTTGCTCAAAACGCTACTTAACCTTGCAGCTTATTGTAAATGAAGCCCCAAAAGTTGAATTCCCCCCCCTATCTTCTCTTTTTTTTTATCTGTTTCTCAGGCATCACTGTAAATAACTTTGTGAGTTACTGAACAACGCATCAGAACCTGGATTACCTGAAAACACTCTTGGCTGCTGATATTTAGCAGTTCCACTCTTGGGTGAAACAAGAGCTGCAATATGTTGCCTTTGCGCTTATTGACTGAAGGAAAAGGTTATGTAGTTTTTAATAAACGAAGTTGCAGAATACTGTAAGAAATCCTGTTAGCAGTTTCTCACATGTGATTTCAGTGACAAAAGAAAGCATGAACTCGGGCCAGATGACATGGAAATTATATTATTCTGTTTACCTTCAAGGCCAATGCAATGTATCACCTTGAGCACCCAATCTGAACTAAAAGTCCAGACCTAAATACAATTGAAAAATTGCTTCAAAACCCGAGCAGTGATCTTTACAAAGATGCTATAGAATCAAAATAAAATGGAAACCATGTGTCCTGTATTTGCTTTTTGTTTTTTACAAAAAACTTTTAATTCTACTAAAAGAAAAAGACATTTTAGATTGCAGGAGGAAAATTTCCACTAGGTAAGAAAATGGCAGAAAGGTAATTTAAATAGTTTTAACCAAGGTAATATTGCATAAATATAAAGTTAGCAATTATAGCTACAATTTCATGGTAATAGTAATGAACACTGAAGTGTAAACCAGAAATCCACCTGCCATTATGAGGGTAGGTGTTCAGTCCTAACATGTAATTTAGAGTTGGTGACTTTGTGCTGCTTTAGTTTGTATCACATACAAGTCAGCTTCAGAGGGATTATTGGGTTTTGAGGACCCCATAGGGATTGTTAGCCTCAAAGCAGATAGATAGCCTCCATGCTGCTGCTGTGCAGGTGGTAATCTTGCACGAACCTGCTGTGCTGATCGGCGCTCTGGCCAGACTTGTTAAGACACAGCCAGTAAAGTGGCCAAAAGGCCCCTTGAGGGATGCATCCACTTCGCTTGGGGCCAGAAGGCCACTCTCACTGGACAAGTTTCAGCTTGCCCAATGTTTGTCACAGATAATGTTTTTTTTTTTCTTGCATCTGTCTTTTCTCTTGTGTCATTACTGTTTTTGTGTGTTTGTCGTTTAGTGCACTTCAGGATTCACTAAATCAGAACTTCCTGCTGGTCATTAGCCATCGTGAAGCTCAGAGAGACTACAACCTCAATTTTCCTGGCTCCAAAACTATACAAGAGGTAAGACACCGCAATATTGTGCGAGCACCGAGCATGGCCCTACTCACAGACATATAAAAGTTCTCTGTAATGCACCCACAGGCTCTTACCTACGTGTCGGTTTTATTGCACCTGATTCTCATTTCCTCATATCACAGTTTGCCTTCTATTTGCCAAACATTGCTAGTCTATCTCCACCATCGATTCATTATTCATCACAAATGATCACATTTCGGAGCACATAATTACTCTCCCAGCTGTGGTCTTGTACAACCCCCCTCCTTTCCTCCCACTCCCTGTATACACTGCATGGTTTTCCGTCTTCCTCTGCAGCTTGCTGAGGGAGAGGCAGTTTAAATCACTAAACACTGTTTGATCAAGGCATGCGGGAGCACTCGAAAAGTCCAATCGTTTTCTTCATCTGAAACTAAACAGTAGATTTGGCTGCTTATGAAATATTAATAGCTACTCATCCTGGACCCTGTGAGGAGGTAGAACATCCTCCGATCCACTGGGTGTTATACCTATCTGCATGGAAAGTAGTTTAAAGGTTATGAAACACGAACATCTAAGCGTGGGTCAATGAGCCTATGCAGATGAGTGTGTATTCATGTGTTTGTGCTTGTGAGCTACTATCACTTGACTGCTCATATATACATTACTGTCCTGGACTCACCCCATCTGTGCAAGGGGCCCCGAGTAAACATTATTCATAATTAACAACAGTGGTCTGCTGTCTAATTTTGGGAAATATTTCTCACAAAGTAGAATCAGGTGGAATCGGCATGCGGCTTAACTTAGTTGAGAACTTCTCGTTCTAGCAGAGATCCACCGATCACTATTTAAAGATTTTCTATTTCTGTTTAAGATAGATTTTAGAGAACAAAGCTGATATTTCAAAATTTCCTCAGCATCTTATTTTAGCGAAGAGTGTGACAAGCCATAGTAAAATTTCTTTTTCCGTGTGTACTGTAGTATAGATATTGTTACCTTGAGATTGCCATAGAAACTGCTAACATTTTCCAGTCTAGCATGTTCTTTGATAAGGATTAAAATTCCAAAGCTTAAAGCACAGTAGAATGTTGGGCTCTTTGTGTGAGATTATCTTTAATTTTGGACTATACTAATTGATCAACATGAGACAAATATCATACTGTATGGGAAAACTGTGCAGCATTGCTGCTGCTGTAACATTATCTACCTCCCTTTCATCCTCCTCCTCTGTTTAGTGTATTACTTCAATGCTAAAAGAAAATATGCACTTGTTTATCAAGATTTCCTTTTTTTTTCAGCTCAGTCCATTTGATGTTAAAATCATTTAAAATCCTATGATAAGTACCAGGCTTTAGAAAATACACTTTCCTTTAATATCTTCTTGCATTTCTTTTTTTTTTCTGACTTTATTCTTGAACATCATAGTTACAGCTGAAAATGGCCAAATTGAACTCTCCTTTCCTCAGTTACAGCTTCCACACTGACGAGTGTTGTCAGTTGTAATTGGCTGCCAGGACCAATGATCTGATTGCTGTCATTAGATGTTTTTCTCCGGGAATCTGTAGTTTGTATTAGCTCCTTCTGTGCCTTTGATAATATAATTATAATAAGTGTCCTGCTCTTCTGTTTTGCTTCTTGCAGCCACTGTGGTTAATTCATGGACCCTCCAAGTAGAGTAGGAACGTATAATTAAAAGTCAGGTTTCTAGCAGAGCTTGTAATGGTGCTAATTAATTAAATTAGTCTGCCTAGCATCTTAACTGGAGGCCACTTTCCTCCCTGGAAGCTCTTCTCTCCTCTTTCGCGCTCTACAACTTTCTCCTCATTTCATCATCTCTAATTTTCTTTCGTACTACCACTCTCCTGTATAGCAGATGGTTTTGATGAGCACCCACTGTGAACCTTAAGTGTTGCTGCTGGGATTACAAACACAGGGGAGGGGCTCCTGTGGTGTGGGTGTGGGAGCTGGGGCCACAGAAAAGAGACTGAAGACTGTTAGCTTGGTGGGGGGTGGCGTAAGAAGCAAGAAGGGATAGAGAAAGGACAATGTGGGCTTAAACAGGCCTTCATGTCGTGGTCTTTTTCTTACACAAGTTTGTCTTTAGGCATCTAAAGGTTCCCTGCTGGGAAAATGAGACCTAGAACTTTAACCTGCAGACATCAAATGTTTAAGCAATGTAGGCACAGTCTCCAAAAATGCTGCTGCTGACGAGAAGTGTAAAAATATTCAGCCTCGTTTTGTGATTCAAGATTGCGCTGTGGATGGCAGCCACAGTAATTTAGTGTGCTGAACTCACTGAGAAGAAGCAGGTTCTGGTTCTCCTATGCAGAATAAAATGTCAAAGCTGCTTTGACTCACTTTCCACGATGAAGATGGCAGACACTTGTGAGGAAGGTTGTAACATTTTCAACCTAACTTTGTTGTACTCTACTTGGACCTTGCTAAAGTACTCTTTTCTTTTACCGGGTTCCTATTTTTCTCAGCTTAAGATTCACCATGAGACTTGTCTGTGCATATTGGTAAAGGAGGAGTAATATCTTGTTCTCCTTTTATTTATTTTGGCCCTAGAATATCAACAATGCTCTCTTATCCCACCCTTTGCCATTTTTTCTTTAACGTCTCTCTCAGTGGCCCGATTCAGCCTTTTTTTTTTTTTTCATTCATTCTTTTCCATCTCCTAAACCAAAGTTTGTGTAAGTTCTTGATTGGCATAACCAGACAAGAGTTTGGGTTGGGGTGGGCTATGTTACTGGCTAGCTTCTGAGCTAAGCTGCAGAGCAAATGTTTGCCAGGGAAGTACCGGGTAGAATAGGAATGGCTGCTGGGTCCCTATTTGTCCGTGACCAGACCGGTTGTACTGGGGATTCTCCCCTCGTCGCCCCCCTCAGGCCCCATCCCCTGCCCTGCAGCTGGGAGACATAGGGGACGAAATGCAGACAGGGGATGTGGGACTGAGAAAAGCAAGGCTGGATTGAAAGCAAAAATGAAAGAAAGGCATCTGGTGCTTAGATGGGATGAAGAGAAAGAACAAGAGGGAATGAGAGAAAGAGCTTGTGACTGTTTAATGGAAACCTTTCCTTCGCTTTGATTTGCTTCCAGCCAGGGATTATAAGCAATTGGCATTTACAATGATTGGATCGTTGATTTTGTCTTTTGGTGTACTGGCCAGCAGCTGAGTCGCTTTATGTTGAAGAGAACTCAGACGTATACACAGCTCTGGAAAAACGAGAGACGTCTGCGATGTTTCTTGCAAATCAGCATCTCTACATGAATGTCAGTCATTTTGTTTCAGAACGTTTTGGATTGCAGCAGAAACATACTTCAATATATTTAATAAAGTAAAACTTTGAGATGATGGATGGAAAGTTGCTATTGCACTCGAATGCTAGTAGTCCCTTTAAGCTCAGATTTCTTAACTATTCCTAATAAAATAGTGTTTTGTTATTGTAAATGATATCACCTCGATGAATTTGCTTTGTTTGGTATATCAAAATGCTATATTAATATTAGGTGATTTTTTTTTTTCTTTTAATGGGAATTTGGAAGAAACAAAATGATCTAGAATAGAATAAAAAACCTTATTCTTATGTTCAAACAGCGTTGGTGTCCAAACATTAAAATTCTTTACTTTAACCATAAATCATTTCAAAATGTTTTTCAACATTTCTTAGATTGCGGTTGGAAATATTAAATTTACTTTTTGTTATTTTCATTTTCTGTCTTCTATATTTTTACTAAGTTCCCCTTTTTGTTATTCATCTCATAATTTGTTTATTTGTTTATTTTCTTAAATATTGCAATGAAGGATTTTATTTATGTTGCCAAGTTTCAGTTTTTAAGAGCATGTTTTTCCAAATGCAGGTTGCAAAGGGCTCTAAAATATATTAGAGATTATATAGAAATAGAAGAATAAAAGAAAATACAATATAATTCCCTAATTTGTTTTCAGAGCTTAGTATGGTTTCCAGTCATATGATGGATATAGGACATATCTCTCTATTAAATGTATTTTTTTTAATTTTGAGTAGAGATTGCTAATCTAAAGTATATATTATGTTTCGATTGCTTGCAGTTTGACTTATTTACGACATGTCGCTCTTGGTAGACAGGGGGCAGCATTAGACAGTAATGCTTCATTTATGTAGTTTGTAACAAAAATTTGTAATTTACCTGCAGTATTTCTGGAAAGATGTCATACTTCTCTTGGGGTTATTTTGTTCCAAATTCCTTTTTTTTTTTAAAGATTTTTTTTATAACATTTTGTTGACATATGGTCACACCAAACTCTCATATTTGCACCATATTTATGCACGTGTCAGGAGAGGCCTGCACATATCCTAGCTGTGTGGTTTCAGGTAGGCAGGCCGGCTGTTTAGCTGTGTTTTCTTTCAGTGCCGGGATTAGACTGTCCTCTGCCAGGTGTCTTTCGCTGTCTGTCTCCGCTCCTCTCCGCCACCACCTCTCACCTTCCCTCTCTCTGTGGTGGGCGTCAGTTTGTTGTTTCTCTGCTGCTGCTTTAACCTCTGACTGCAGCCTCTTCATTACTAGTGTTTATGCCTCTCCTTTTCCTCCCTTTCCCCCTCTCTATTCATCGGCCGACCAGCCGGTCAGTCAAATCCCTGTAGCCTGGCTGGTCAAACATAGATATTACACTCTGTAATAACACTGGCCACCCGCTTTGACCCCAGCCTGCTATCTTGGCCACGACGTCTCTTCATAAGGACTGACTCTGAGCAGTGTGATATGGGATTTACAAGAGAGAAGCAAAGTGACTGTGCCACTCATCTATCATTGTTCTTTTATAGTCTCGCCTTGTTTGTACTGTAAATTGCTTTGCTCTGTCAGGTTCAGCACAAATATATAATATATTTTGGGTAAGAGGTGGATAACTGAGATAAAATATTTACTCAATCTCAACAAAAGGTGTTCATATCCAGATCTAATTACATGGGAAACAACCAGTAATAAGAACAGTGTTTGTCCTCCAAATTAATACATTTTGTCCTTCAGATTCTCCCTTTAGAGTCTAAAATTGCCTTTTAGTTTGTAGCATTCGTTAAATTTCCACATCCACGAGCAGCGGCCCTCAGTGTATTGAAGGACTCCTCTTTCTTTGGCGCACTTTACAAAGACAGGATTTGCTCCATGCATGAAGGGATCTCTTCTCTACAAAAGGTAGTTTTTTCAGTGTCCGTGTCCTGCCCCGCGGGGCCCGAAGTTCAGGATCTTCTCGAACAAACGCACCAGAATCAGCCATCATCGGAGCTCAGGAACTAACTCTGGGCTTTGATCTGCTTTGACTAGAGCACATTCGGGCTGGCGTGAGGGCTTTAAACCAACAACCCACTGGAGGGTGTAACACGGCGCTTGGTTTTAGAGCCGCTGCTGGCTGCTAACTGTTTAAAACTAAGGAATGTTATTAGGTGATGCTGATACAGGGTCTGCACATGAATGGGAGAAGAGAAATACTGTTCATTTCAGAGTGTGTGGCTGTTGTTGCTGGGAATTAGCCGAGGCATCCGAGGAATGCTGACAACACAGGCTCTGTTTTTGTAGTTTTCTTAACATCTTTTTCTTGTCCGCTCTCTGCCTCCTTCCTAATATTCCTGTTCATTTTATAGCAGATAGTTGGTAAATTGAAGCTCTATTTTTATTTGGGAAAAGCATTATAGAATGTTATAAACCTATATTAGTTTTAGATGTAATGATGGATAATCGGTAGGCATTGTGGCACCATGAGACTTAAAAGGTGTGCAACATTTAGTAGTTATAACACAGCTTTGTGTGCATAGTTTTATGACATTTCATGTCAAATTTAAACACAAAAATGATGACACAATCTATATGCTTCTGCTGCAAGAACAACCCAACATATGAATTGCTATAATTTATCTATAAGATGTATGTTTACCGATTGGGGCTATACATTTGATCTAAATTACAGTATAAGAACGCTGCAAGTTATTTCACTCTTTTAGGTAATTTTTGAACAGATGATTCTCAAACACCTTAAAATAAAAATTGAATCTGCACAGTGTGTCCAATCATCTTTGTATCCATTAAACTGCCTCCCTTGTGTTTTGTGACAGCACCTAAAGATCAGATCAGATTAAAGAGATAAATGGGACATTATGATATTAGATAGAATTCAATATTACAATGTTTATGCTTTTCTAATACTATATACCCCTTACCTGAAGTATAACAAGCTGATTAACTAGTTGGGCTGTCTGCTTCAGGAACTAGCCTGCAGCCGACTGCTTAACAGACAGACTTCAGTAATTATACTTTTAAGACATGGTTCTCTTAGTGAGATTGATTTCTAGTACTCCTCAAAGCTGGGGACACTTTACCCAACTTTTACAGACTTTGAAAAGACTGTTCACAGTAAACAAACTGGTTTTTGTGTCTACATAAACTTCTCAGTAACTTAACCTGCTGCTGGATCACAGACTATAGGGTTTTTCAAATCACATAAGGCCACCTAAGCACACCAATCTCTCATTGTTCGAAGGAATAAACATCCCAGTAGTAAGGCAAGGGGAGTTAATTTATACAGAACATCATTGAGTAAGACAGTTTAGTGCTGTACAGTGGCATGGAGGTAATGAAATTAATGAACATATATGATTAAAGAGGAAAAAAAACCCAAATAATTAAAATAATTTTAAATCTAATAGAGGTCAGCCTGCAAACTTAAACTGATAATGTTTACATGGCAAAGTGAAAGGCCACTCTAAATACATACGTTTTTATCTCTATATTAAAGGAACTTTAAGTGTTAAGGGTTTCAGCACTTTTTATTTTTAATTTTTCTGGGAATTTTGTTCTATATTAGTTGAGCTCAATGACTAGAAGCTACTTCTCCATGTTTGGTTCTGGGTATGGAGAGTAGATTTGAGTCAGAAGTCTGAGAGCTGAGGGCAGATGATAGACTGACAGCAAGTCTGTAATATGGTATTCTTAATCGGAGAAGTTCTAAGAATTTGCATGGGTTATATTTCTGTTTTACTCCCCCATAAAATAAAGGAGACATTGGATGGAACCTAGAAGTGACATGGTTGACTGAATTCTTTGTTTTATATCTCTCATGTTTTGAACATTTGATTTACATCCTTACTATAGTCATGTTAGAGGTATGAATTTGTATGCCAGGTTGTGAGGTTGTTGGTTGTGGGACTGACTGTTTTTATGCTTTGAGTGAAACTTCAATTTCATAACTTAAATCCTATTAACTCTATGTTCAAAACGTAAATAAGGTAATCCATTGATTGCTTTTATTATTATATATTTTTATATTTATTTCTTTTAAATATATTTTTCATCACTCTTTTAATTTAATTAGCCTGGTTATAGTATGAAATATGGCCAGTGCTGTTTTTATTGGGTATGTTTGTTTAAAACAACTGAGGTCGAGTTGTTCCCCCTCACACACGTCGTCGCTCCAATCTTCACCTCTTCTCATACAAGCAGATTTTTTTGCAACGACTCTCTGTGCTGAACGACTCAAATTAGCGCCAAGTAATGCTGACTACAGTTTGTTTTTTTCCCCCCTGATTAGTTTTCCACATATTACAGTTTATTTTTTGTCACAACCACCAGAGTAGCTGAACAAAATTTCTTCCAGCCAGCTGACCAGCAATGTGCAGCAGCAGGTTGGGAAGATGCTCAACACAGCCAGAGAAACTGCCACCCCTCAGTCAAATTTTCCGGTCTCTCAGTAAACAAATTTTAGATTGATTTAGTTAAGCTAAAGGAATTATTGATAATGTGGCAATAATGTTTTGTAAATAAGGGTATGTTTTACCAAATGTAAATTTTTCTGTTTTATTTTTTTCCTAGGTAAAGAGGAACATATCAGACTTGACCAACATCCCAGTTCGGCATCAGCAGTGGGAGGGATGGCCCGCGTCAGCGTCCGATGATTCTGTAAGAACCACGCCTACAGTCATTAATATACCAGATTTAATCATTTAATTTACTTCCATTTCCAACTCTCAAGGATTGTTTAATGGAATTGTGTGAAGTATTTGATATAAAACACAAAATGGGCTCGACTAAAACATCACTATTTAACAGGAGTGAAGCCTTTTAACAGCTCGGGGGGGAAAGCTGTGTGGAAACTTGAGGGTTGTATTTTTGATGTTGCTGTAATCTTTTCCTAAATATTGTGGTAGATTTAAAAATTTTCTCATGCAGGATATTCAGATTTCTTTTTTCTTTTTGTCATATTGCTCTTAAAAGTAAAACACAGATGATGTTTTACTATTAAGTGATCAGAGAGTGTGCTCAAGTACCCAGCCTGCAGTCAGCCACATATAAGTGAAAGTGACTTTATTGGTCCACAGCAACAGGTAGGGGAGGGTGTTCTTCTATGAATTCTCACCATAAAATGGTGCTCTCTCTTTCTCATACAGCACTTTCTCTGGCTCTTGTCGTTTAGGAATTCAGGGAAGATCTTTATAGATTTAAAATGTTTTAAATCATTCGTTATTATGACATAAGTTATCATCCCATACATAGGTCCAATTTATCACAAACGTAAGGATTTTCTTTTGCAGTTTGAATATTTTATATATCCTATTTTTTAATCCATGAAAGTTAACTCTGTTTTAATATGATTTTTAAAAGCGTAGCTCAGGTAGTTTTGAATAAGAAGCTGTTATAAGTTGGAGTTTTAAGCCTTCTTAAAGTAAGATGTTGAAGCTAATTAAGATGTCAAAGACCATTCCCGTCCCGTGTCCCCTATCTGTGGACATTAAAGCTCACATCATTGAGTCCCGCTGACCTTCCTGTCCCACGCTTGCTCTTCCCAGCCATTCTCTTTGCGCAGTGTCAAGCTGATCAGAGGTCGAACCCATACAGAATGTCAAAGAACCTTTGACCCCTTTTGTCTCCCCCCTTTTTTGACAGCATATGTGTTCCCATGCTAACTGTTTGGGATGGTTTATCATGCCACATTGAGGAGCTGCTGGGCACACATTCTTGGGTTAACCCCCAGCTAACGTTTTCCCTTTAGATCTGCATGGCGGCTGTTTGGTTTCGGGTCTTGTTGACTTTGCCTTTATTCTGAAATCCATACTTCGACACATGTGTCCTGTGCTATAAAAAGTGATCGTGTAATAAAGCTGCACAGTCGTGATTTATAAGGATGAGCTCGTTTCATTGTATCCAGTGTTTTGGTGAATATAAGCTATTCATATCTACTAGCTATTGTTGATATTTCAAACACTCAAAGTGAGAGAACAATAGCTGCACCTGACTTGTTATTAGGCTTTAAAGCATTAACAGTAAAAGCAAATACATGAGATCCTTTATGATGCACACATGGGCTGAGATTAAAAGCATACCCACCCTTTGACCTCAAAGAAAAATATTTGCTTCTTGCTTTTTTTGTTTTGTTCATCACAGTTAAGAGGCCAGTTTTTAAAGCCATCAAGCATCAAGCAACATATGTTGCTCCAATGCTTTTTAAATAGCAAACAGTCTTGGGTTGCAACAAAAATACAAATGTTAATTCTTGCCCTGAAAATTATTAAACCCATGTATACTGTAGGTCAAGTAATAGATAAAATAAATAATCTGCGCTTTATATTTTTTACATTAAGGAAGAAATGTACACAGATCATTTAGATACTTTTGCACACTAAGCTTATGTGTTAAATTCTTAAAGCTAGCATATTTTAATGTTCATTCATTAAATAATGAATAATGAATGTATTCAGTATGTCTTTTTTAAATTGAGAACATTTACTGGGTGATCAAAAATCACTAATGCTACACTTGGTGGCATCCTCTACAATTCTCCATAGATGTGTAGTTTTTAAATTGTACTGGTTTAAATTCATTGGCTTATAAAAAAACGTGTTATACATGATTTTCTTTTCTTCATCAATTTGAAATGAAACATCAATTTATTTTAAAGCTTCTTCTAAATGGTGAGGAGAACATGCCATTTGAGGTGTAATCAGAGGTGTCCAAAGTATTAATATTTATTACTCAAGTCGAAGTATAAATCCTACTTTTTAAAAACACTTTTGAAGAAAGAGTATCAACTTAATTTTTGAATCAATTAAAAGTGTAAAAATACCTTTTTTAAAACTATTTAAAGTATAAAAGTGAAAGTAATGCAAGTTAAGGACAGATGTTTTACTGCACTACCCTATTAAAGGAACAGTTTTCTATAACTCTGGATGATAATTTCCTTAGACTTCATTTTCTTAGTTTTATAACTAATGGTAACAATGTCAAATCTAACTTGAATGAGGATTTCTTTGGATATGTGGCAAACAAGAAATGAATTCTCTCCATAAAACAAATTATTTTGATGTTTTTTTTTTTTTGTTTTTTTATGCCAACAGGCCTTAACGAAAATGAGCTTAAAGGAAACAAAACTAACGAGTCTATTTTTAAAATTTAAGGAGTAGAAAGCAGAGATAATTGCGAAAAAATAAAAGGATAAGAAATGAAAAAAAAGATTGTCCAACCAATGTATAGATAGCCAAAATTTCTACTTAAGTAAGGCAAGAAAGTATTTGTACTTTGTTAATTGTCACCTCTGGTTGTAATATGCATGTTGACCACTTTAAACAAGGAAGCTTATAAACCAGGATGCAAATATTTAAAAGTAAAACAATTGATGAACTTAATCACTTATATTTATCTTCCTAAATGCAAAATCAGGAAGATGTTAGAGAACATTTATCCTCCGCACTTAAGTTTTGAAAAACGCATTGAAAATGTTATAGTTGTTTACTTCTACAAGAAAACATCAATCAATTCATTGTTAAGGATCTTTGCCAGATAAATATTGAGAAGGATCTATGTTTACTGATAAACTAGATGAAATGTATGTTTCATGCAAAAAAAAACAAGACATGAAACCTGTAGCCTGATATTTATTTTGGGGTTTTTATGTTATAGTTGAGAGTACAGACTAAAATTTGTATATTTTATTGCAAACCTTTTTAAAAATAATTTTCTCATGTTGCTAATTATCAGTACCTTAAAACTTCAATTTGATTTGCATTACATAACTAAAAATTTAGTGTTTATTGAAAATTGTTGCTAATTAAACAGCATAATAAGGATGTTACCGTATATATAGATAAATCGGTTTGTTTTTTTAAACTTTTATTTATTTAATTTTTTTTTGGTCTGTGGTCCTTAGCTCATAGCTGTAGATTTATTGGCCAAAGACCATGAATAAATTTGAGCTCCCTGTGCCAACAAAGGCCTGGTCCTTGGCTAACACATAACTGCAGTGTCTGTTTTTTTTCTTGTTTGAGAAGATATTAAAAAAAGCACAGAGAAGAGAGAGACAGAAGTGTAATAATGGCCTCTGCACTAGCTATAGCCCTCTTATTGAAACGTCTGAAGGTATTAACAGAGAAAGCCTGGGGCTTGGCTGGCCTAGTGGATGGATGGAGAGCCAATGTTAGTGTCTAGCTCATTAGCCCAGTCTCATCTCTTGGGATTTGGCCCAATAAACATGGCAGCTACAGACCCCAGATTACTTTTAGCTCCACACATTCTCCTGCTTAAAATGATTTGGTTGCTACTTAATTTCCTTGCAGCTCATATTTGTTGTTATCTGTGCTTTGTCTACGCCTTTTTACATTCTGGGCTATTGTGAATTTACCGCTGTTTGTTGATTGTGGTAAATATTGTATTAACTACTCCTACATGAAGTAGTTGGTCACTACTTTATGTAGGGTGTCAGTTGAAGTTTTTAGGAATAACATGAGTTGCTTTGACTAACATTATTTAACCTAAAACTATGAGTCTAGACCATTAGAAACATGCTGGGTCATTGTGGCACTGTTTTTTATTTTTTATTTAACCGACTATGTAAAATGATAAAACATTTTTAAGAATCACACTGACTGTATTGGGTTATTCATTTCTTATATTAGCAGTTATTCCTGAATAACTTTACGGTGTAGTTGTGGATTTGTTTGCCTTTTGAAGCAACCAGTTGCACATGTTTACGTCACTGTTTATCCACCTGATCAACCAGCTCATAGTTTCAGCTAAATTTGCTACCCATTCTTGTTCCTGAGAAAGTTTTTTAAACTGTTGTAATTTTAGTTCAGTGAAGTCACATATAGTCCGAGGGAAAGAAAAGAGTCTTGTAGAAACTCCTTTCAGTGAGCCTGGCTTTTGAATGTTGCATCATCCCTTCTCACTCTAAATCTGTTTTATTTTTTATTGTGCTCAGACTTATTTGTGGCCTGATGAAGGATTGAAACTGGATGAGGATGCATAACGCTCAGTTGGCACTAAATAATGGATTGGTTTATAAAGTTTACTCTAGCTGTTTGGGGGATGGACTTCACTGCCTTGGCTGTGTTTGAGTGATGGCCCTTTGGGCCAGGTCTGGAGGAGGTTGTACCCTAATATATTTAGCTGGTTCTGAATAGGATTCAAGTTTTTTTACAAATCCATCCCAATGTATTTATTTTGAGATTTCCAAATATTAGAAATATCACTTTTCAGTCATATCTTTGAATTCAGCACATTCAAATCCTTTAAATTTCAGCTGTTCATAACTTACCAACGGGCTAAACTCTTCCTGTAATTGTTTAGTTTTCGTTCCAATGTCATCTCGCTGTATTCTCTAGAAGACAGTTTATAATGTTTTTTTTTTTTTTTCTGAGTAGCCAAATAGAGGCTCTCTAGGAGACTCGCGCTGTCTTTGTGTGAATGTTTACTTTAGCATTTGTCTTCATTTTCTTTGGGTTTTACTGCATCATAACAGTCATGGTATTACTAGAAAAAGTTCCCAGTCAGATGCAAGTATGTTGGACTTTGCAATAGTTAAAACTTGATGGAGTTCATTTTACTCCAAGTAGATTAAGACAAATACTCTGGCATTATTTGCGAATACCACAATGTAGCTCTAGCTTCAAATTCCTCTTGATTCTTGA